GTGGACGGTGGGTAGTACCCATTGAAATGAGCTATGTTCTTTAAGACCCATATACAATAGCCTAGATCGAGTTGACTGACAAGGGTTTAGGGGAGGCGTACTCAGAGGCGTGTGGATAATCACGAAGGCTCACAAAAAAGAGCTCACTCACCACATTCTCTTAATCCTACATGACAACCATAGCTAGGAAGATTTGATCCTAGGCAAACGTCTCATCTCTAGCGTTCTCCCAACCACTTAGTTGGTTATTTATTTTGCCTTTAGGATTAGATTAGATTAGTTTAAACAGCCAACCTTTCGATTCGATTAGATAGTAGTTCAGAGCAAAGTAATAGTAAGCGTAGAGCTCCCTTGAAAAACGATCGAGCCACTTTACTACAACCCTAGCTAGGTTATGCTAGGCTTAGTTAGGATTGAATAGAGAGTGTGCATCAACTTATAAATTCAAGAGTGTGTTTTCACGTAGAGATCGACGGTAGGATTCTTAATGACCAGTTGACCCCGAAATTTGCTAGTTGACCCTCTATCGACGATCTATTATGCATGACATTGTGATTTATCATGCAAGTTGTACGAGTTTGAGTAGGTTTGCTTGGGACAAGCAACGCTTAAGTGTGGGCGAGTTTGATAATACCTAAAATAGGCATTATTTAGCCCTTATTCCCAAAGTATTCGCATGTTAAATCATCGTGTCCAGGCCACATATCAATTTATTTATGCCTATTTTTGTTCCTATTTGCAAAACATCTATTTTGGCAGAGGTAATCTTGATATGAAAGTTTCATAGGGGAATCGACCCACTTTGTTGTATTTTATGCTTTTCCAAGTGTTTGTGATTAAATTTCGAGGTCTTATATGCATTTGGGATTGATCGAGAATATATTGGAGTTCATCCGAGCACGATTGGAAAGCATAGAAGCAAGAAGTGCAGAAGAGGCACTAGTCACGGCCACACATCACGGCCATGACCACCAGGCCGTGACCATGTTCGCGAGCTGAAGATCGCGGTCGTGAACAGTAGCCGCGAACTTCAGCAGGAGACCAAAAAGAAGGCAAAAATTTTCCCCACTCGAATCGCGGACATGGTGCATTTTGACTGCAAAAAAGATCGCTCCCGGGACATCATGACCGCGATCTTATGAAAGAGGCCGCGATCTTGGAGCTTAAAGATGGAGTCCAAACGCGTCATTTGGAAACATTTACAAGCTTACCATCATCCCCAGCTTAACTTCTTCGGTCCTATTGATTAACTCCTACTTTGAGATTATCTTCCTCATTTGAAATTCAAATAAGAAAACCAACATCTACAATGACCCAATATATTTCTACACTACCTATAAAAGAGAGAATATAACTGAGTTACATTGTATCCTGCTTTCTGCCATAACCACAAAAAGACCGAAATACTACCCTTTTTGTTAGTTGGATCCAAATAGGCCATGGCGACCACCCATGCCTTGTACCTGCTTGGCCTCGACATGAATGGTGGAAGGGTGCCTGTAAATTTTGTGGCCAGAGAAAAGCCAAGTTGCAAGCTGGCGGTATTTGTTTTCACACATAGATTTAAATTTCTTATAAATTATACTGTGTTTGGACCCCGCAAATTCACCTGGATGTAAAAATCATATTGATAGCATGTTTGGAAACTCAAACCGGAAATATAATTCCATTACTTAAAAGTAAATCATTTCTCATGTTTGGAAATAAATAAAATAAAAGAAATAAAAATTCTTTGACCGAAAATTATGGGAATTGCAATTTCGAACAAAATGAGTCGAGATTTGTGAGCATTTCTTGTAAATTAGTGGGTCCTACCACTACTTTTACTCTACTTGGCCAAATTACCCTCTTTTTCTGCACTTGTGTCCAACGAAATTAACTCACCCCTACATTGGGATGCCACAAAGTTGGTCACCGCAAAATTCACCTCTATGTAAAACTCATATTGACCGCTTATTTGGAAACACAAAATTGAACGGAAATTGAATTTAATTACTTAAAATAAATTATTTCTCATGTTTGAAAATAAATAAAATAAAGGAAATGAAATTCTTGGACCTCAAAATATGGGAATTGCAATTCCCACTAAAATGAGTCAGATCTGTGAGCATTTCTTGGGAATTGGTGGGCCCTACCACTACTTTTACTCTAGTTTACCAAATTATCATATTTTCTGCATTTGTGTCCAACTAAATTAACCCACCCCTAAATTGGAAATGTGAAATTTTTTTAAATTTTATTATTTATTTGTTATATAATTTAAAATAACATTAAGAAAAGTTATATCCATACCTGTAGGATTTATACCAAACACATCTTCTAGTAAATGAAATTCCGAAATTTTTGAAAATGGAATGAAATTTCATTCTCATTTCTACAGGAATTGCAACCAAACAAGCTCTTAAAACTAAATATTTCTCAAGTAATGATATAATGGATGCGACAGAAGACTACAACCATAGCTTTATTTGGAGAAGTACTGTGGCAACTAGAGGGTCATTTTGGCTATGGATATAGAACCCGATCCGACTAAACCGCCCGATCATTCCGACTCGCAACTCGACTGCAACCCGAATTGACTCAAAGTTAACAACCTGTAACCCGCCCAACTCGCAACTCGATTGACCCACAACCCGACTAACCTGCAACCCCATTAACACGAACCCGATTGACCCGCAACTTGATTAACCCGAACCCAATTGACCCGAACCCAACTAACCCGTAACCCGACCGACTCAACCCGAACTTCACCTAATCCACTTAAATAATTATTATATTATATAATATATAGTTTTTCAAAATAAATTCTTTCTTTCTAAACTTAGGTGAACTTATTTTTTCATTTCATTTTGGGAATTTAAAAAATATGAAACTCACGTAATATTATTTATTTTAAGAAAATTAAAAAAATTAAAACATGAAAGTCACTTGAACACTAAGCTCTTTAACAAAAAAAAAAGTAAATATGAAATTCAAAATCGACACAATGTCAATATTAATAATGAAGAATTAATTAATGAGATTATGGATAATATTAATAGAATAAATAACTTAAAATTTTGGTTAATTTAACTATTTAATAAAGTTATTAATTAAATATAATTAAAGTAAATTAATGTATTTGGTCATTTGATTCCTTTAAAAGAAGAAGGAAATTTTGGTGTATTCAACTTTTTGGGAAGAAATGAAGAGGAAAATATGGGTTTTTTAATTTTTTTAAAAGAAACAAGGGGGAATTTTGTGGATTTGATTTGTGGGATGAGAAAGATGTGGGAAAGTTTGGTTTGATTATGATAGAGAAATAATGAGGAAAATTTTGAGTTTTCAACTTTTTGTGGAATGAATAGAAAATTTGGTCCTTTCAATTTTATGGAGAGAAAGTGGAGGGAAAATTAAGTGTTTCTAATTTACAGAATGAGAAAGAAGGAGGGAAATTTTAGTATTTAAAATTTTTTTTTTGTGAAAAGAAAGAAACAAATTTGGTGTTTTCAACTTTTTGGGTTTTCAAAGTTTTAGCATTTGAAATATGAATCTTTAATTTTTATATGGAGAGCATTACTAATTAAATTTATTCTTATATGTTTTGAAGGTTAATATATTAATATATATATGGTTCAGGCTAGCGTACGCCTGACATACTTTATATACATACTTGTTAATAATGTTTAATTAATCATAATTAAGTAAATAATTCATTATAATTATAATTACAACCACACTTATCAATTTAATTTTCAATACGAGTTAGTCCCACTTTATTTTTGCCGTCATTATACTTAATAAATCACCTAAGTATTCATTCTATACCTTCATTCTCCTAATGATAATTTATAACATCGAAAATTTTCATTGCAAACATAGTCTGATTATATTTGTAAGATTTTCAACTCAATTTCATTTGATTTCCTTCTTTCGAAATACGGAACTAAAAACTTAAACGACAAGAAGTGTTCACTTAAACACACAAAGATCATTCAACTCCCAACCTTTTCCATTTCTCATCCATTTTGTTATTCTCCATTTCATTTATCCTTCGTCTTCCTCATGGTAAGTGAGATTTCAATTAGTCTCCATCCCTTCTCATTTGTCCTTCTTGCGCTTTTGAGTTACAATCCCTTATCTCCCATCACAATCCAATCGCATTATCATCGTTATAACACATTTTTGCCATCTACCCTACCGAATACTGGTCGATTAAGGGTTTCTCAGTGACTTTTGTATCATGGAAGAGTGGAATATCTGAGACTATTGCACAAGCGCCATGAGGGTTCTAAAAGCATGCTTCGGCGATGGAGAAGGTTTAAATTGGTGGACAAGAGATGAAGTAGCTGCATGATTGATATTCTGAATCGCTACTTAACGCCCAACAAATTACTATTTGTCGCCCACAGTTATATGAAAAAGACAAATTTACCCTTGGTTCAAAATTGAATAAACCCTTCCCCTTAGCCTTGTGACCACCGCCGCAAAAACCCTTCCCCTTGTGACTACCGCCGCCAGCCACCCCATCCTCTGCCATCCCACCTTCCATCTCCAATCTACTCACTCCCCTCCCACTCTCGCTGTCGGCAACCCTCGCCGGCCCACCCCATCCTCCTGCCCTCCCCACCTTCCACTCTCTGTCTCCCCATCGCTGTCGGCAACCAGGAGCGGCGCTTGAGGAAGCAAGGTGGAGAAGTTCGCCGAATTCTGGGTTTGAGGTCGTCGGCAACAGAGGTATGTTCTTCTATCTCCCCAGTTTGCTACATAGCTTGCGTGGTCATGTGGCCTACGACATTTACTCCGGAGAGGCAGCTCGAGGGGTGATTGAGTGCCATCATAGGAGTGGGGTGCTCGATCGTAGTGTGACGCCTCATGTATTCAATGACTCTCGCGCTCTAGCAGCATTGCAGAGTTCAGGGCTAGCTCACTTGACACATTGCACCCTTCGCGGAGAGCTGGATCTAGCACTCATCTCAGCTTTTGTCGAGAGGTGGCAGCCAGACACTAGCACTTTCAACATGCCGTTCAGAGAGATGACGATTGTCCTCCATGATGTCTACTACATCCTGGGCATTCCGGTGGATGGTGCACAGATGAGTGTGAGTGCAGATGCGATAGAGACTCCGACACTAACCCGGGATATGCAGCAGGTTGGTCCTTCCGCTAGAGAGGCCCAGTGTTTTCTTTTGTTGCTGTTGGGTTCACACTGTTCGTGGATAAGACTAGGGATCGCGTGTCATCTGTGAACAACTGCTTTCTGAAGAGTCCGGAGAAGTTGGGTGAGTACGCTTGGGGGGCTGGAGCACTTGCTTTCCTGTATAGGCAGCTTGGTATCGCTTCGCATGTGGAGGCGAAAGGACTAACGAGGTGTTTGACCTTACTACAGTATTGGATCTACGATCACTTCCCTAGCCTCAGACCAAGACAGCTACAGCCTCAACAGGTTCCAGCTGGGGAAGCAGGAGTACTGAGGTGGCGTGGGGTGAACTGTCATGCAATATACAAGAAGGATCCTAACCTGTTGGGTGCGTACCGAGCGGCGCTTGACAGTATGACAGCCAGGCAGGTCAACTGGACGCCCTATGGTCCAAGTTGGGACCATCCTACTTGGTACGAAAAAGGTTTTCGGAGGAAACTGCCCGGTACGAAAATGGCTTTCGGAGGAAACTACCATGCCCGGTACGAAAATGGCTTTCGGAGGAAACTACATGGTAGTTTCCTCCGAAAGCCATTTTCGTACCGGGCAGTTTCCTCCCAAAACATTTTTCGTACCAAGCATTATACTCCGAAAACCATTTTCGTACCGAACTTGGCTCTCCGTAAATCGACTTCGTACCGACCAAAATTTTCCGAAAAATGATTTCGTACCAGTCGCCGTCAACCCTTTTATGCTAAATTTTTTTTCCTTGCTAGATATTCCACATTTGCCAAGATATAGAATTTACCTCATTCTACGACGCCTTTTAGTTTGCCGGCAAGAAGAGTTTTCCGGCGACCAGATTTTTTCCGGCGAGATTCTCCAGCAGACTGTGGTCTGTTGGCAGTGTGAGGGAAAGTTTGTTGAATGAATAAAAAACTATTGTTTCGAAGAATTATAAAGAAATATACGAAAGGGCAAAATTGTCTTTTTCACAAAATTGGTGGGCGGCAAATAGTAATTTGTTGGGCGGTAAATAGTAACTCTTTTGGTATTAGGGTTTTGGTTAGCCTAAATTTGTTTTGATTGACGAATGGGTGGGCTTTGTTTTCTTTTTTCTTTTGAGTTGCCTTCGGGGTGAGGCTTCTTGCTTTGGCCCCTGTTTGGCTTTTCAGTTGTTGGGTTTTGTTCTTGGTTCTCCCCTTGCTTCACTCGTGGTATGGTTGTTCTCTTTGGACGCTTCTTGTTTCCTTTCTTTTCAGTTTTTAATGTAGTTCACCATTACAAAAAAAAAAACAATGAGGGATTTTGGATTTTTTTTGTTTGTTTTTGTTTTTGTGTCTGTGAGGTTTCTTGGAGCTCTCATTGTCGAGGAAACCTCTCTCCGACCGCCGTCTCTAACGCCCCCTTTGTCCTGAGGCCCTCCTCACATGGATTTTAATTGGAGTTTTCAACAACAATCGGAATGCTGGGAACGACCGCGAGATGACTTCTTTAATACCAATTGCTAATTTCGGTGCTATGAAGCGCTTTGAAATTGAGGGTTTATAGCGGCTTGGACTTTAGCTGCGGCCTGCATATGCGATGACGAGGAGAACGACAGGAATCTTGGATTCCTCTTCTTGTTATTTATAAGTTGATAGAATTGTTTGGCATTAATTAAAGCCGAGTCTAACCTGTAGAATATGATAACACGGAAGATGAAATAATACACGAACACAAGAATTTTACGTGGTATCCTCGATAGATTGATTGATCGAGACAAATCCACGGTGAGCTCGAAAGAGCTCACGACTTACGATTTATTGTAGGACTACATTGTGATGGCTTGCTTATGACAGAACCATAGCTAAGCTTTTATAGAGAACGACTTAGGGTTGAAACCCTAATGACAACCAAGTTTCCTTCTTTTAGTAGGACAAGGAAACAAGGGACTTGGAGGACAAGGAATTAATTACTTTTTGACTATGTAATTAATATCCTCAACGCTCCCTCTCAAGCGAAGACATGAATGACAAGAATGTCGAGCTTGAAACTGAACAACACTCAAACAACCTCTTGCTGACAATGACGATCCAACAGGCTATGACTTTGTTCGCTTGTGGGAGAGGTAGACAAATGATGAAACTACTCCATGCTTGACCCAGTTCTTTTGACAGTGAACTCAGCATGGTGAAATTCCTTGACATCTTGGATGAGATTGATCTACAGATGATTGGCTCTCTTTGAACAACCTGACACGGTTGAGTGCGTCTTCTTGAACGTCGTGACGGAGACTATTGACTACGCCTCTTGAACGACCTGACAGAGATGGTTGACTGCGTCTCTTGAATGACTTGACGGACACGATTGACTGCGTCTAGCCAAATGATATGGTGGAGACGGTTTACTGCGCCTCTACCTGGATGAGATTGACCGAGAGGCTGTTGACTGCGCCTCTCTTGAATGAGACGGATTAAGAGACTTCTGACTATCGTCTCTCTTGAACAAGACTGGGGAACCTCCTTGAATGATACACCATGGTCGATATGTTGAACTGGTTGACCACGTATTATGATGCCTTATTCTCCCCCTCAAGCTGGTGCATGAACGATGTGAATGCCCAGCTTGAAAGTTAGAATGGTGATGACTCAACATTGACCGATGCTGAAACGGAGGGGACGATTGCTTCTTTGATCGTAACTGCCTCGATTGATGACTTGAAAATTCTGTTTCTCCCCAACACTGCTATTGAAGTGATGACCACTGCAAGTCATTATTTCCTTCAACGCCATAACTGTGATGTTGGTGAAGATTGACTTTGACGAGCGTTCCTTCTTGAAACTTGGGACTTCGAAGAACATGAACGTCCAAACGCCACACCTACTGCTGAAGAGCTGCTAAGAGAGAGACAGACACCGGGATAAACAAAAACCGATCCTTCACAAGGACAATGGAAGGCAACAAAATCCAAAGCGAGTTGTGCAGCCAATGACAAGCATTAAACATGTGCAACGAGGAAACCAATTTTGGACAAAGATTTGATAATATTTGTGGAAGAAGACGTCCAAGAGTAGAGAAGCATGATTAGTGTTGACCATGCAACCAGGCTATGATACCATGTAGAATTTGATAACGCGGAAGATGAAATAACACACGAACACAAGAATTTTACGTGGTATCCTCGATCGATTGATTGATCGAGACTAATCAACAGTGAGCTCGAAAGAGCTCACGACTTACGATTTATTATAGGACTACATTGTGACGGCTTGCTTATGACAGAACCATAGCTAAGCTTTTATAGAGAATGACTTAGGGTTGAAACCCTAATGACAACCAAGTTTCCTTCTTTTACTAGGACAATGAAACAAGGGACTTGGAGGACAATGAATTAATTACTTTTTGACTAAGTAATTAATATCCTCAACATAACCTAAGTCTTCATCAGCAAAGGCGGAAGGAATTGAGAAGCAGAAGGTAACCATAATTCAAAAAGATGAGGACTTGGGGATCAGATGGGTTGCTAACCATCTATCCCGTTAGCACCATCCTAACCTGCCAGCTCCCCCTTATTAATTTTGGAAAATAAAGGGTATTTTATAGTCAGGGGTATTTTTTTAAGTTGTGTTTATTAGCTAATGTCGTGTCGTTATCACAACCGATAGTTTCCTTTTGAGTAAGTTTTTATTCTTCTCTCTAGCCGTCGGAGAGTAGCAACCCGCCGATTCTCGTAGCCTTCCCGTCGGTGAAACCTCCCTCGCTAGTTGCCTTCGTAGGGGCTGTGTTCGCCTGCAATGCCCTCGTCGCAACCTTCTCAACGTCCCTGACATCGTCGCTGCCGTGAGCTCCGTCGGGGCTGGGTTCGCCTGCACTGCCCTCGACGCCACCGTCCTCCTCAACGCCCCTCACCTCATCGCTGACGTCAACTTCGTCGACGAGCTCGTTTTATGTTTTGATTGTTGGTCGAAGATCTGTCTTTTAGGACTGTTGCGTGTAGGATTCTGGATCCAAGGCCTGTTTTGTTTTTTGATCAGAGTGGGATGCAAATCTATTGTTTTTCCCGACGATGTTCAGTTTGCAGACGAGAAGGTGAAGTGTCTGAAAGGTTTGGATAATAGTGTTTCCATTTGTGGTTTGTATTGTTTCGTTCGTAGTGATTCGTGTTTGGTTACCCTCCCCAATACGAATCGTGTTCGGTTAGTATTATTTTCATAGCCCTCCTAAACGAAGGTGTAGTAGTGATTTTGTGCTTCCCTTGTTACACATTTCCATTCCAGAAGTATTCTCTTTCAGTTCTTAATAGTGGTTGTTTCTTGTACTATGTTGACCTTGTAATGTTTCTTTATGAGTTGTAGTTTGCCTGCATGTGGTGTTTTTTTATTATAAATATACAGTGGTGATTATATATTGTTGCTCTTAGACTTCCTAATTGGCTAATTCATAACTAATGCATTATTTCATTGTCGACAGACATGCAAAAACACTAGAACAAAAAAAACCCTACACAAATGCAAATCGATATACTATCACATTGCTACCTTGAACGAAACCACTTTAAGAAAAATGCTACACACATGTAAAAACAACTACGACAGTCTCACACGTAACTACAACAAAGATTACTAACCTATCCCTCCCACCAATGCAAAAACACTGCAAAATGACTCCCAAACCCTTCAACGCTGATGCAAAACCAGTACTACAAAATATTACGATCTCGGAATGGAAACACTACATACATTCTCTTCAAGCTTCAATCTCAAAATCTTCATGCCCGACAATACAATATATTGTGGTGCTAATTATATACGTACACTTCAAGGATAGATCTCCTCGATAATGATCTCCCTGTTGAGTTTTCTCACTTCCATCGGCATGATCGACAGGTCCCGCACCGTTTCCACTTCCTCCATTAACACTTCTCCAATCAATCAATACAATAACTTCTTCGGATTTTGTCCCCATCAATAAAGGTCGTTCTCACCGCCGTTGCAGACGGGGCCGCCGACGATTGATATAAGGTCTTCCCCTCAATTTTGCTATCAACCTCCCTCGCTTGCGATCCACCAATTCGATAAAAATGGAGACACTATTCCTAATAAAAAAGAAGTTTTTGTAATTGGCACGTGTTTTCTTAAACCACCCATAAGAGCCATATTTTGACTCTTATCTGAATGAATAATAGATCCAGATCCTAAAAACAATAAGGCTTTCGAATAGGCATGAGTAATCAAATGAAAAAGGGCCGCTCGATAAGATCACATACCTAAAGCTAGCATCAGTAACAAAAGCAGACTTAATTCAAAAATAAAAATTAATATTTAATGCAGAATATCCCTAATATACCCTTAGTGTTTTCTAAACCATTATATTAGAATTAAGAGTGGATGGTGGAGATCATAGTTAGGATGGTGCTAACCCCCTATGGGGTTAGCACCGTAGCTTCTCTCTGAGGACTTGGCACGCGACTGCGGGTAATAGAGGTAGAAGAAGGAGAAGATCGAAAACAAGTAGAATTGGCAGGGGCGAGGGTGGGATTCTGAGCAATTTGATGGAATGATAGAAACAATAATTTGGGTGTCTAAATTTAAGATTATAAGAATTAAGGCACTGTAGTTGGCACAAATGATTATTTAGATGATTGATTTACGCATAATGTAGGATAAAAAAAGTTGTGTGTGGAACCTCTTCTCTCTTCTCTCTTGCTCTCTGGTTTCAATTAGGGTTGATGGTTGCCTCGCCGTCGGAGCCTGAGCCAATCGGTGAGGGCTCCTCTTGGGCACAACTCTTCTCTGTTGCTCCGGAGAACAGATTGCAGTATCGGCCGCCCATCAAATTTATGGATGGCTTTTGTCTTCCTAAGGAGGTGAAGGAGAAGGGAGCGGAGCGGTGGAAAAATTCTCTGATCGGGCAATTTGTGGGATCAAGACCGAAAACTCCGGATCTTCAAGCTTGGGCGAATGCTCTCTAGGGTCGTGATGGCCTTGTTCGTGTTTCCAGGTTTGGTACGAAGCTTCTGGTGTTTCAATTTCCATCTGCCGCTTCGTGCAATTGGGTGTTTCAGTCGGGACATTGGCATTTTTGTGGTAATCCAGTTTTCTTTCGCAAATGGAAACCTGGTATTCAGCTGGTGGTTCCTAAGCTAGATATACTTCCTATTTGGGTGCGAATCTGGGGTTTGCCATTGGAGTATCTTCAGTTGGATGGTCTGGAGTGGGTCGCTAGTATGATTGGAAGACCTCTATGGATGGATTAGACAACAAGGATTGGGGGTCAGCTAGGTTTTGTGCGGGCTTGTTTGGAATTGGGACGGATTTCGATTTCCCTAGATCTATACGCATCTACCCTGATGACGATCCGACCTTTGATATTGAGATTGAATATAGCAACTTACCAAGGGTTTGCTCTAAGTGCTGCGTGTATGGGCATGACTGTGGGGTATATATCGCAGGGTCCTCAGAAGGTCTGGATTCCAAAGAAGACCTCTACTCCTGAACGTGTGGAGGTTCTGACTGATGACACTCAAGAGGTTCTTCCTACTTTGGAGATTGCTGATGTATTGGATGTGAGTTCTTAAAAGGTTGGAGAGCTGGTAGGGACTGCAATGGTAGTTGAATTCTCCTTCTCATACGATACAGGCCGGTAGTCAGACTGTTTCCCCTTCATCAACTGGGGGGCTCGAGTGAGTTTTGCAGAAGTTGTCAAGGGGTCATCAACTATAGTTGGGAGCCTTCCTGATGCTTCACTAAAGTCTGTTGGTTCCAAATCACCAGTTCAGAATGGGAGTTTAGACCGTCAAGCTACTCTTCGAGCTAATGTAGTCACTCCTGGCTCTCGCTTTGGTGTGTTGGATAAGGAGAATCTTGCTCCTCCTGTGATTGATAAAGGTAAGAAGTTGTGGATTGAACCCCAGGTGGAGCCTAAAGGGAAAAGAGGGGGGAAAAGGTGGTCGTGGTAAAGCTCATAAATGAAGTTGTTTGCCTGGAATACTTGGGGATTTGTAGCAGATAGTAAGTATACTACTATACTAAATAAAATTAGACAGTATAGCTTAGATATAGTAGCTGTTCTAGAACCTCGAGTACAGAAAGTTGATGAGAAGAAGTTTCTCAGAAAGAGATTTGTTGACTGGAATAATAGAATATTTTATAATGATGATGGGCTTGGTAAGATTTGGTTAGTCTGGAAGAAGGAAGTTTTTCTTACTGTTCTGCATTCATCAGATCAGTTTGTTCAGGTTATGGTGAATGATGGAGTTCCTTACTTTGCAACCTTTGTGTATGCTTCCAATGATGAAGGTCAGAGAAGGGTGTTGTATGAGCAACTGGATAGAATTCAAGTGATTCATATGCCTTGGATCATTATGGGGGATTTCAATGCTATTAGAACCCAGGAGAGGGATCAAATGATCCACAATACTCGTCTAGTATGGCAGATTTTGATGGGTGGTTAAACTCTATAGAGGTTGAGGAGCATAAAGCAACTGGACCTTGGTTTACGTGGTTGAACAAACAAGCTGGGAATCACGTTGCTCGAAGGCTTGATAGGGCTTTTGTTAATCTAAAGTGGTTGGAGGGGTTGAAGGATAGTGAGGAGCAGCTGTTATCTCCTGGCATTTCTGATCATTGTCCTGTGTTCTGTCAAACTGAGGTTCCTGTCAAGTCTCTCCCTAAACCTTTTAAGTTCTTCAACTTTTGGCTCCAGCATCCAAGTTTTGAGGGACTTTTAAGGGAGGCTTGGGGTGCCCAGGTTACAGGGTCTCCTCTCATAAGGGTCTATAAGAAGCTCCGCATTTTAAAGGGTTTATTGAAGAAGCTAAACAAGGAGGAATATTCTGACATAAGGGGTTGGGTGAGAGAGAAAGAGCAACAACTAGCAGCATTACAGAAGGATGCTCTTGATAATCCTTCTAGGCCAATTTTTGAGGTAGAGAGTCAGCTTTCACGGGAGCTGGCTGAATTGCTAAAAGCTGAAGAAGATTTCTTGAGGCAAAAATCGAGAGAGCTATGGTTGAAGACAGGAGATTCAAACTCTAGTTATTTTCATCTCTCTCTGAAGACTCGACAGAAGAAAAATACCATTACCTCGTTGTTGGATGCTTCGGGGAATAGAGTGACTGAGGTTGATGACATGAGTCAGATAGCGGTGGGGTTCTATAAAGGATTACTTGGGAAGGTTAATAGTGAAGTGGTGGATGTCCCTGATGGATATTATGGTGATATACTCAAGCGGACACTATCTACTGATCAGGTCGAGAGACTGTGTGATCCTGTCACCTCAGAAGAGATAAAAGAAGTTCTTTTTCACATGGGGGCTAATAAGAGTCCAGTGCCAGATGGATACAATGCACAATTTTTTCAGGCTTCTTGGGGGATAGTTGGTGAGAAGATTACTGCTGCAATTCAGCACTGCTTTGTTGAAAAAAAGATACCAAGGGAGGTAAATGCTACTATACTAGCTTTAATTCCTAAAGTTCCTAATCCTGAAGAGATGAAAAACTTCAGGTCTATCTCCTGCTGCAACATAATCTACAAATGCATGTCCAAAATTTTTGTTAATAGGCTTAGTGAACTGCTTCCATACTTAATCAGCAAGAATCAAATAGCTTTCGTGAAATGGAGGGTGATTGGGGAGAACATTCTTTTAGCCCATGAACTAGTGCATAAATATGCTAGGACAAACATATCTAGTAGATCAGCCCTTAAGATTGATTTGATGAAAGCCTTTGACTCTGTCAACTGGCATTTTCTGGGAGGGGTTCTGAGAGCAATGGGGTTCCCTGTTCAGTTTGTTGAATGGATAAAAATGTGCTTTTAGCATCCAATGCTTAGTATGGCCTTTCACGGGGGCTGGTAGGTTATTTTGAAGCAAAGCAACGGTTGAGGTAAGGGGACCCTCTGTCCCCTTATCTTTTCACGGTTGCAATGGAAATTTTTACGTGTTTTTTGGATAGAACTGCTCAGAAAGGATATTTTCCCTATCACCCAATGTGTAAGAAGGTTGGTATAACCAATCTGTGCTTTGCAGACGATCTTTTGGTTTTTCCAGATGGCTCTAACTACAGTATGCAGAGTATTCAGAGAGTTCTTACTACTTTCTATTAGCTGTCTGGTCTTAAGTCGAATCCTAGTAAGTGTGAACTGTATCTAGGTGGCTTGAAAAAGGATGATATGGTTGAAATGGCAGGAAGATATGGATATACTTTGGGGAAATTCCCAGTTCGTTACTTGGAAGTCCCTCTAGTAGCTGTGAAGTTATCTGTGGCTGCTTGCAAGACCTTGATTGATAAAATTACAGCTATGCTGGTCGCCTTGAACTTGTGGGATCAGTGTTGTATAGTCTCACTCAGTATTGGATGAGTGTCTTCCTTCTCCCCAAGACTGTGTTAAGAGAAGTTGAGCGTATTTGTAGTAATTTTCTGTGGTCAGTTGGTGATGGAATTCGGTTGAAAGCTAAAGTTGCATGGAAATACCTAGTGTTCCCCAAGGATGAAGGAGGGTTGGGATTAAGAGAGCTTGGTTCTTGGAATACAGCTTGTGTATTTAGGTAGATCTGGTCTATTATGATGCAGCATGGTTCGATTTGGGTAGCATGGATTAATGCTTACAAGCTAAAAGGTAGGGATTTCTGGACTTATAATAGCTCTGATGGATCTTGGAATTGGCGGAAGTTGCAGAAGATCAAAGGTAAAGTTCCTAATCTTTTTAGCTTGTCTAATGGCATACTGTTATGGAATGATCATGAGATGCCAAGATATTCTATAAAAGCAATATGGGAAATTGTTAGGCTGAAGCAACAAAGGGTTCCCTGGGCAGATTTGATCTGGAAGGGTCCATCTATCCCTCGGAATCGATTCTTATGTTGGCTCATTGTCATTGGGAGAATTCAAATGAAAGATAAGATGAAAGATTGGGGATTCCAGGGATCAGACACATGCGTTCTGTGTGATGTATGTGTTGAGACTAGGGATCATCTCTTCTCCACTTGTTGTTACTTCAAGGAGGCCTTTGAACAGCTATTTGGTTTGTATACCAATTTTAGGCCGAGGAACTGGGAAGATGGTTTGAATTGGGCAATCAAGAGCTTTGGTAGGAAAGGTGATGAGGCTGCTGCTGGGAGACTTATCTGGAAGTCTGTGTTGAGCCATACATGGCGTGAGCGATGTAATAGAGCCTTTGGAGCAGACAGGAAGGATGTAAAGGTCTTGGTTTGGATTGTGAAGATGGAGGTTAACCTGTTAGGTTGGGAGGTTAAGCTGTTGGTCTTGGTTCGGATTGTGAAGATCGAGGTTTTACACTTTTGGTTTAGTTTATAGTTTGCGTGTTTGAGTTTGATGAGACCTATTTTGTATTCCACCTAGCTGGCAGGGTAGTTGTCAGCACCCTTTTTGATGAAATAGAAGACCCGATTCATAAAAAAAGTTGTGTGATTAAAATGTATAAAAAAATAATTAACGGGTGTGATCGTAAATCTTTAATGAATTAAATTTAAATATAATTATTATAATTAAAAATAAATGTATGAATGTGAACGCAGGTGTTAAAATGCTCATGACATCATCTGTGAAAACATGCTCACAGTAAGACAATGTCGTCGAATTAGATGTGACGATGGACATTGTCGTTTTCAATGAGGCGTACCTTGAGTAAGAAAACGCTATCCAGAACTTGAATTGACTGATCTTTCAGACATGATACTATACTCTAACCCTTAAAGATCAAATTCTAGGCCTTAATTCTCTAAATCTTATACCCCAAGATCAATTTAATTAGAAACAATAATCGACGGTTATGATTCCTCCAAATATAGGCGAAAAAATCAATACACCATCTTAAGGTTTATAGTTTGTGATTTAGATAATTGGGACCTAGGGTTCACTCATTAAGGGTTAGGGTGTAGTATCATGCCCAAAAATACTGCTAATTCGAGGTCTAGATAGCGTTTTTATACTCAAGGTATGCGGTACCCCGGATTTCGCTTAGTAACTAAAGTAACCATTAGATACAACAATCATTTATTTTAGAAAAATTCATAAATTTATCTACTTGTTTTCTATACTTCTACACTTGTTGCGCGTGGTTAGGGCATAGGGTATATGGTGTAGAGTATAGGATATATGGTTAGGGTATAACAAATATAAATTTTTTATTTATGTTTTGAAAATCAAAGTATTAATTTCACTTTAAATTAACTATACTAGCAAAATCACAACTGATAAGGATATATGGTTAGGATATAGGGTATGTGGTTAGTGTATAATGCATTGATGGTTTAGGGTATACGATCAACAACATATACTAACTTAATATTATCGATTGAGGGGAAGGTTAAGCGTATAGAATATATGTTATTGAGTAAGTTATGGTTGAAGTCACAATAATTTTACCAAATTTGATAGTTAATCTTTAATGGTTTGATTTTTAGGGTAATTCGAACAATTTTGCAAATGTTGATATCGCCATTACTATTAGCTAGTGTACTTTACCAATTACGATTAATTATATAACAAGTTTGCAATTCATACAAATTGATTCAGTATTTTGACTAGTTTTTTTTTAATTAAGTATATACACGAGGTAGAAAGTTTTTTTATTAGCTAGTAATCCGAACAACCCGCAACCCACAACCCGATCCGCCCGCAACCCGCCCGACCCAAAACCCGATGAACCCGCAACCCGATTTGCTCGCAACCCGATTGAACCCAAACCCAAACCCGATGAACTGAACCCGACTAACCCGCAACCCGTTTGAACCCGAACCCGAAACCCAATTGAACCCAGCCCGAACCCGCCCGATTGACACCTATAGCTTTGGATTCACCGAATCCGTAAAATTTTATAGAAAATTACGTTTTTCATTGCTTTTTGTATTGTGAATTTTAGTTTTAGAGATTTCAATTATAAAACATATGGATATCAAATCTATTGTAATGAGAGAGATTCTATATCAATCGTGAGATTTTTTTCTCATACTTTATTCCTTTCTTTTATATTTATCCCATTAAATATATGTATCAATAAATTCTCAATATTTCTCAAACCAGTCTAATTATTTATTAAGGATAAATGACTAACTCTACCTACACCAAATAAAATTCCGACTAGAGCCCAAGTATAAACTCTAGTAGGGTATAGTATAGCCATAGGGCAAGTATTTTAAAATGTCAACCCGGGACGGTCCATGTACTCCTACTTCAATCGTTTAAAACGTTATCTAGCTATCGGTTTTTAGTGAAAACTAAAAACTACAATTTTAAGTAAGCAAGAAGCTAAATTGTTGTGGATTCTCTATGAGAAAACTTCAGTCGGGTATTGCTACCCCTAGCCTTGTACCACGTTGCAATAATCGGAACTCTAGTGTGATATAGTGTGTTCTTATACCACGAAGATGGCACAGTAGATGGAAAATTTCCACTCTCTTAGGCATCCGATTAAGGAAAAGCAATTAAGCTTGGAAACCTAGCGCTCTCAATCAATCGGCCAAAGATTGCTTGTTGTTGGTGCGCGAGTTGTACATCATGAACATTATGTATGTTCACGCTCAAGCTCAAACTCATACTCCCATTAATTATCATCAGCTTCCCTTTGCCTCTTGTAAGCTTCTCTTTTACTCTCATCAGCTTCCCTTTGCCGCTTGTCAGCTTCTCTTTTACTCTCATCTAACTTTTCTACTATGGGAATCCATGTAGCAAAAAAATGAGTTTTTTATAGAGAATGTATGAAGGTTGAATGAGTTTTATTCATGACTAAATGTTTGATGATGGATTAGTAGAATGACAAAGTTTGGAGGTTCATTTATAGCACAAAAATATTCTTTTTGCAATAATACATGTCAAAATAGAATGAGCCGTTGGCAACACAACTCATATGTTTAAAGTTGGATGGACGGTTGATAACACAATTCATTCTGGGAAACATGTGATGAATCTATGACCATATGAACAAATTATTGTATCTTCGTAGTTGACGAGGTCATATTTAATGACAAATTTTTTATCCTAATTATAAAAAATTATATCAAAATGTTTGTCTTAATTAATCATTAATACCAAAATATAAAATATGAAATGAGTTATAATATGGTGAATTCTACTCTAAACTAGATTGTATCAAACACACTAAAATTGAGGGATATGTGACTTTGATTCTCCCCATTATATTGGAACAAAAAATCCCTTTTCTGGAGGCAACCAAATGTAGCACCAACTTGGAACTAGACTATGGGATGGTCTTGCTCTTATTATTTGGTGACGTTAAGAGCCAATTTACCAAGGAAGTTATTGGCGAGGCTTCCTAAGTAGAGATGACCCTCAAACTCAAACGCAGTGGTGACAAAGCTCATCAGTTTACCGTCGGGATCTTCAAGCATCTTGATGATCCTTCCATCTGCTCCCACCTTGACAACTCTAGCCATTGTTGTCGGCGCTCGGGAGACGAGTCCGAGTAACCGAGGAGTCGATGCCACCATGTGCTTGAGTAGCTTTGAAGTGTGCACGAACTCATGGCCCGGCGAAACTACCTGTATGTGACCAAAACTATACATTAGCTTTTCTACTTACTGATCATATAGTTAGTTTGTAGAATTTAGGTGTAATGCAGATTATGAATTTGTACCTGTATTACACCAATCCAGAATGAGCCATCGGGAGCCAAATGTATGTTATCAGGGCCACCAGGGAGGTTGTCCACAAATATTTCAGTCGTCCCTTTTCGTGCCCCGGTTAGCCAGTACTTTTGGCATCGAAACCTGAACTCCATTAACAATGAACGTTACCTACCTACCAAACCCTTACTAAGATTGATCGATCAAGTCGAGTCGAGTCGAGTGACAGTAGTGTGACTTACTTCCATGTCTCGCAGAAGATGAGGCAGTCTTCTTCTTTGGGCAGCACTAGCCCGTTGGGGAAGCACAGGTGGTCCAGCAGAACGGTGGTCCGGCCAGTGAAAGGATCGTACTTGAGGATCTGGCCGTTGGGTTTTGCCTCCAATACGTCCAGATACCAGTTGTGGTACCCAAATTTGGTGGATGGAACACTGATGTACACGCTCCCATCACCCGACTCTACCACCTCATCTGCAAACCTGACCTCACTCAAACGCACTTCATGTGTGTTATACATCTTGCAATTCGTCTCATAGTAATAATAAAAAAAATAGAAACTATGAAAGGGTATCCAATCGAAATTAGATCAGATTTTGAGCAGGAATCGTCCAATCCATTAATTGACCAAATCACAAACCTAGAACCTGATCGGATAGGATAGAGATAAAGGAAGGAACAAATAGTTTGGTGTTGGGTGTGAATGTTGGTTTACTTGACTAATGTTTCGCACCTTCATGAACCAACTATTTGCTTAACTAATGTTTTGTTTGACTAGTGTTTGCTTGAATGAATCACGAGTGCAGTATATCACAAGTGTCAAAGATAGTGAAAATAAGTGTTGTGCTTCTATGGTCATTGAGAACGATAATCTAAAGCGATATCATCAGTTGGTCGCAAAAAACTATAATGTCATTGGAAATCATTGTAAGAGACTATGATCGGCTAGTTATGAACATGACGTAAAAACGTGAATTGTTAATAAAGATGTTGCAAATCAATGATAATGTTATTCAAATTGTTAATAATGATGCGACATAATTTCAATAATTCCTTTGTGAGTGGTGATGACGAAAATGTAAGTTGTTAATAATTGATATAAAATCGATAATAATTTAATCGTAAAGCATTGATACATATACTGAAATCTTTAATAATGATGATAAGCGTTGATAATAACTTGCAAGTCGCCATGCAAATATATTGAGGACATTTTTTATTTCAAATTTCCACCTTCAAAACATTAGATATTACTTTCATAATATTATTTTAAATTTTAATTTAATTGATATATCATATTAACCCTTTCAGGTGGACGTATGTTCTAAATCTCGCATAGCTCCAAACTAGTTGTTTAAGTAGACCTGGCAAATTACAACCCGACCTGTTGATCCGACCTGAAACCGTCCGAAAACTAGAAATTTTTGTAACCCGAAATCCGAATGACTCGAACCCGATAACCCGTGTTTTTTTTTTTTTGTCAGATTGGGTTGGTTAGCGGGTCGACCAGTTAGACCCGTTCCATTTTATATCACTCCCAAAATATGATAAAATCACTCATAAATTGGTGGGATGTTTAAAAAAAATCACAAGGATTTGAATGACATGTTTGGAGTTTAAGGATAATCAAATATTATGCATTTCTTGTTGTAGTATTACTCTTGTGATTGTTTTTTGATAATTTGCGCAATTTGTATTTCATTTCATTAGCGTGGGAGGATTTGAGAATATGTTAATTGACATGTGTTAGGTAAACTATTGTCATGCATATGTGAAAATTTGTGTTCTTTAAGAAAATATGAAGCATGTTTGATATTGTTTCCGAGAACGCTCATAACCGAAATGACCTGTAACCCGACCCGAAACTAAATGGGTTGGGTCAATATTTGAGCCAAAATCAGACAACCAAACATGACACGACCCGTAACCGAAGTCCCCAACCCGACCCGATTGCCAGGTCTAGTTTTAAGGAGTGGGAATTAATAACAATAAATGAACCCACCGCTAAGATTAAGAAACCTAGGGCTGGGCATGCGGGCGGATCATCCACGGGTTTGGGCCGACCCACCCGCATTTGATCCGAATTTCGTTAAGTGGGCGGGCCTGTGGGTGGGTGACGGGTTGCGCTGGGAGCCATCCGCCGGGTGGTGGGTGGATTGTGTGTGAGTGTGCAGGTGATCCGCTCAATCCAACAGCAAAAAAATCAAAGTCGTTGGCGCTAGAGAGAGGATAGTGGAGAAGTTAGATATAAACTCGGACTGCTCCTGGAGTTTGAACCTCAAAGCCAACCTTCCAAATAGAGATCCCCTCTTCTTCCCTTTACTTTTTCCTCTAATTCTTGTGCCTAGATCACCGCTCTTTCCTTTGTGGAATTATTTTCCTTAGTTCCTTGCACCTAATAATCGTCTCAATCTGTAGAAAACTCTTTTATAATAGAATTTCTATCCAATTTAAGAACTAATTCGACATTTTTCGCCCTATTGCAACTTCTGGTTTCCCTCGATGATTCTCTTCACCTATTATCATGTCAAGTTGACTCCTTTATATTATATACATTGTGATGTGGGTGAACCCACAAACCCACCCGCATCATCCACCATCTACCCGACCCAACCCGAGACTAAATGTGGATGGGTGGTTGGTTAAAAATTATCAATCCGTTTAAGCGCGGGTGGGTGCATTTTATGATCAAAATCCACCCGACCCACCCAATGTCCACCCCTAAAGAAACCGCAACTGATTCAGTGGCGATTTTGATCCAATGGGCCGGAATTAGAATCCACGGCCAGCACCGATATCCAGTAGTAATATAGATTATAAACAATCAATAATATACTAGCTAATATTTTAATTGAGGATTAGTATTTGGTTCGAACTTCTAGTTCTCTCTAGCCAGCAAGCAAGAGATTTGAGAGTTGTTAGTTACCTAATCTCGGACCCATCAACTCTGTGGGATGCAACAACAGTTGAGCCATCCTCAGTAACCTTAACCAAACCCTGCAACCATGCATGAAAAAAGAATGGTATTTCTGTCAAGCACAAATACAAGTCGCTATGGCTGATAATTGATCGATCGATTAATTAATAACTTTTTCCAATAATTAGTTACTGAGTACGTACTTCATTACTTGGGGAAAAGTTAATCTGCTAATTTTAAAATTCGTTAGCAGATACTAACTGATATCCAAAATATATGAACTAGTATCCAAGTACTAAAGTATCTAGAGAGCACAGACTAGTATTCAAAGTTTGCTAACTGATATCCACCATGAATCAACTATTATCCCAAATTCACAAACTAATATCTAGACAACACAGAATAGTATTAATACAACACATAATTAGTATCCAGATAACCCATAAGAATATCCAGATAACACATAATAGTATCCATATTGAATACTAGTTAGTTGATTGTGGATATTAGTTGGTATCTGCTATTTGGATACTAGTTTGTGATGTTTAGAATACTAGTCTGTGCTATCTAAATACTCAGCAGACTTGGATATTAGTTCATACATTTTGGATATTAGTTAGTATATACTAACGAATTTTCAAGTTAGCAGAATAACTAGACTGTTGACTTGTGGTACATAAATTATTATTTATGGGATTAAAGAATGTTTATTACCAATTGAGCATCGGCAATAAGAACTCCAGCAGTAGCGTGGTTGGAAGGTGTGATACCAAGCGCAGAGTAGCTGTGAATCTGCTTCCATCTTTCCCAACACCCATCTCCATGGATTTGCATCCTTCTGACCCAGCCATCTCTTCCTATTGTGTGGATGACGCCACCCTTGTCCACAAAAAGATCCTCTGGCCCTTCAATCACGCCCTCCTCCCCTACCCTCCTCACATTCTACATACAGAGAAATTAATTAGCTAGGATGTGATCAACAGTTTGAAAAAAAAAATAAAGGAAACGTAGTTCTGTATAATGCATATGTGGTGTAGGTGGTAGTTTACCTGTAACTCTTTGTTGGAAGGAATGGAAGAGGGAGAAGGGAGGTGGAGTGCGTCGGGAGAAATGGGGGAGAAGAAGAAGACGTGAAGGGTAAATGCGGCCGAACAAGCTATTGCAAACCCTGCGAATGCTGCTATCATATTCATGGCTGCCCAGCTAACCTTATCCACTGATCACAAGGCCTTTGGCAAATATTAACGGTGGAGTTTTCAGTGTAAACAAATAGTCTCCAATCTCCATCACCACATATATGCAATAACTGGTGTTTGTCTGTTTGCGAGCATGAATTGCCAGCCATTCCTTTATTAAAGAAGAAAAAGAAAAGCTACCATTCACTTCCTACTATTTGATGCGTCCTTGCTTCGTGTCTGTGAGACTGTGACCGGGAAAAGTTAATCTGCTAACTTGAAAATTCGTTAGCAGATACTAACTGATATCCAAAATACATGAACTAGTATCCAAGTACTAAAGTATTTAGAGATCACATACTAGTATTCAAAGTTTGTTAACTGATATCCACCACGAATCAACTATTATCTCAAATTCACAAACAAATATCTAGACAACACAGAATAGTCACCATACAACACATAATTAGTATCCACATAACACATAAAAGTATCCAAATAACACATAAGAGTATCAATATTGAATACTAGTTGGTTGATTGTGGATATTAGTTGGTATCTGCTATCTGGATACTAGTTTGTGATGTTTTGAATACTAGTCTGTGCTATCTAGATACTCAGCAAACTTGGATACATGTTCATATATTTTGGATATTAGTTAGTATATACTAACAACTTATGCAGTTAGCAGAATAACTAGGCTGACTGTGACCATAGCCCATAGGCGGAGCCATCCCATATTGCTCTTGTCACGGGTTAATATATTTTTTTTTTAGAAAGATATAGTATTATTAAAAATCCAAAATTAAAATAGCAAGGTGCAAAAATGAAAGAAAAGAGTGGAAGGGAGGAGGAGCAGAACAAGAAATCGCGAGAGCATCTTCCACCGTTAAAACCCCAACTAACAGTGCTGAGGGACGGCAACTCAGACTACTACTAATGCTAAGTGTAACTTGGGAAAAGCCTACGTTTTAACTCTTTTAGCCAAGTCGTCGCCATTCGGAGATCAACCTTTTTTGCTGCCGTCAACCAACAGAAAACAGCATTTCTGATCTTGTAGGCTACCTAGCGGGCCTTCGTTTCTGTTTCATCAAAGATTCTCCTGTTCCTTTATAACCATATAACCCAGCAGACTGCATGAATCGCAACCCTCGAGCACCATTGGCCTGGTTCCTTGGATTCCCCATGGCGCCAAAGTCTGATTCTTTTCGTGATATCCTCCGCATTGGTTCTGACTCCTTCGATCTTAATGAAATACTTCAGAATGTTCCACACTTCACTAGAAAACTTGCATTTGATGAAAATGTGATTTGCCGATTCTTCTTCTTCCTTGCACAAATCGCATCGGTTGGGTAGGCTAACTCCTTTCTTCTTTAGATTATCGAGGGTGAGGATTCTCTTATGAAAAACCAACCACAGAAAGATGCAACCTTTGTTCGGCCCTATAGCTTGCCAGATCACCTTCGCCGGAAAGTCATTGCTGCTTGGGAATCTTATCGTTGTGAGCTGCTCATAAGCCGAGTGAACAGTGCAACCAGCCCTCGGCTCCGGGAGCCAAACCATTCTTTCAGGACCTGCAACAAATGAAGAAGGAAGGGAAACCAAAAGCTCAAATAATCTCACACGCTCTCTCTCTGCCCCACCCCGAAGTAAAAATTTGAGAGGAATTTCACACTGGGTTACAACTCCCTGTTCGACAAGGTGCTCAGCAACTCTAGCACTCGGGACTCCGCTGCGGCTTGTACTCGCAAAGATTCATCTGCCAAACGGGTACCTCTGATCCAAGTGTCAAACCAGAATGATGTCCAGTATCCAGCCCCATGATCAATATATGCCAATTTCCAGAAGTCCTTCTGAAGCTTCATAATTTGTTGCCAAATGCTACTGCCGACCTTTCCTCGAGTTCCCCAGCCACCCATCCTAAGACAGGATTAGGATACTTTGTTGCTATAATCTCCCTCCACCAGCTACCTCTCTCTCCCGCAAACGGCCACTGCCATTTATGGTGGAGCGCCTGATTATGAAGCTCAAAGTCCCGAATTCCAAGCCCTTAACATTTGGGATGGAAAAAAAAAACTCCACAACCCAACACCAGTAACATAAGGATATTTTGTCACTACACCACATAAGATCATTACTTATTTAATAATTAATAAAAAAGTAATTAATCTATTTGTTTCATTCATATACTATTATTTGGCAACAGCTTGTCGGGTATTACCATGATGTTATGAGATTTCATGAATTGATGAAATATCTCGAATAATGATAGAGACAAAAGTGCATCTGTCATATCCGTAAGTTTATTTGTTTCTAAAACTAGTTTTGATTCTACTAGTTGTAACTCTGTAAGTGTAGAAAGATTATTTTTAACTTGAGCTAAATATGTATGAATTATTTGAATATTATTAGTTTTAATTATATTTATTATATATTTATATTCTCAAAAGATGACAAAAGTAATTTCAAATTGTGCCTCTGCCACTGTCTGTGACCGACCCGACACAACACTGCATGTCGTAATTGTAGAAATGTGTTGAGCGGAGGATTGGAAACTCTCGACGGAACTCGATTTCTCATACCCTTTCTATTTATAATGTGCTACTGCAATCAAGACAAGTACTATAATAAAGAATAATTAATAAATAGAATAATTATCTTACTATGACACATTTTAATCATAGAGTAATTATTTTTCTAATTAAATGTGGCTTATTCTACCGAAAGAAGAAATATTCTGGGTTTTTGCTCCTATAAATAGAGCAATCCCAAGACCCTCTAAACGCAATTCGAAGAGCAAAAAACGAGAGAGAGAGAGAGAGAGAGAGATTCAGAGAGCTCTAGTTTTCTCACAAAATCGCCGAGCAAACCAAAGGAGTGGTTGTTTTATCAGGGAGGAGATCGGCTTATAGTCTTTTGTTCGCAATACGAGGCAGTGTCACGAACATTTTAAAGAGAGCGTCCTAATCCGCGACTCAGCTAAATCGGTAATTATAATTTTTCTATTCAATTTCTAACAATTTACAATGTTTTGTTGTTGTTATAAGTATCAAACAGAATGTCGATTCTAGCTCGACAAGGAGGACATTTTTAATTAAGTCGAGGGAAAGGGTTGTCTTTCCTGACCAGACAGTGATTGAGATTTTAAAATCAAAGAGACCAGGAGACTTGGAGTAGGACGTTGGGTGGTCGATATCTTGGGGGATTAAGCATTGCACCTAGATACCATGTGTTCCGTCCGTAGAGCTGCAGACTACTGGTCGTGGACCACTAAAAGAGTCATCTTTGCTTGAATTTGGAAAAGCTATTCCTTGCTTTCTTCGTTGGTCGATTTTATTTTTAAAATAGATTTTTGATTATGTTCCCGAAACTAAGGGGAGCCCGATTCTCTAGGGTCAGATATATAGTTTGCAAATGAAAGCATATCCTTAGTTGCACCCTCTTTTACGAAAGTTAAGCTCTTAATCGAGAAGAGTATATAGAAGTGAATGTAGTTGTGCAGCCTACTGGACTAATGAGCGTAGCCCTTTATTTATAGGGGCAAAACTTGGCCAAAACCCTCACAAACCATCTATGACAAGTTTTCTTTTACTTATGACTGAAGTCAGGGCCTAAAGGTCTTGTTTCAGAGATGGGTCTTTTAGCAACGGTAGTGCGGGGGTTGAGACTGTCGCCCTTCTTCTTCATGGGATGTCCTCTTGGCCCATGGATAACCTATTCGAAATATTTGGACACGTTTTGACCATGTTTTCCTCCTTAAGGCTTTTTCGACTGAAATAGTGTTACTAGTAGGCTTCTCTGTTGTTGGACCTCGTCTTTACATAAAAACTTCATATTCTTCTCTTTATAGCTCTTTTGGTCCTCCAAAGTTGTCTAATGCTTGATCCAAGTTTCCTTATATTGGTTTGACCTTGAAAATCATTAAAAAAACATACCAATAAGGCATCGAAGAGTACAAAAACACACTCTAAGTCTATTAAAGTCTCGTTGATCAAATAGTTATGATTTAAATATGAAATTCAAGAGAAAGGACTAAAAATGCATTGATAGAAGGGAAAAATTTATTAAGAATGAGAGTGATAAACACTATAAATAAAGTGTTATCAGACATACCCCACACTTAAACTTTGCTTGTCCCCAAGCAACATTACTCATAACCATACAACTCAATGAAGCCTAGGAACAATCACTCGACCTTGATCTTTGGTAGTGGATCATAAGCCATTTAAGAGGTCAACAATAGCACGAGATAATTCTAACCACATAAATATGCAAGAATATCATGCCACTTAATCCAAGTATCAACTACTAACTGTGCATTAGAGTCTCAAAATGATAGGGTGAAACTTTGGATAAACATTTATGTTTTGAATGCTTTCTACCACCAAATTGACATTTCTTTAAGCACACTGTCTTAGTCATACTCATACTATTTTTCTGTTTATCAAATTTTCTTCCATTGCAACCGACTTTTTTTCCTAGACTTTTCTTGTGGTGGAGAGTTCTTTTAGAACTATACCTTTATTGGGCGGGCAAGAGCTAGAAGCTACTATGCCTCAGCTTGTGTAGAGGATCAATGAAGTTAAGGGATGACAGAAGCTTTATTTGTGTCCTTAAAAACACATCCTCAAGTTGGCAACCAATTCGACGGGTGGGAATTTTACTTGTACTAGAGAGGAACTAGCATCACCTTGTATATATTTAAATATTAATTTCAAATATAATTAATTTCGTATTCAATAATACCGATTGGGATACCGGAATATTCAGGGATGGGGATACCAAAATTATTTAGGGATTGGGATTGATTTTTTAGTGTAATTCGGAATTCGGGATTTCGGTATTTGGTACTGGGTTACCGATACCGTACCGATTTCCACCCCTACCCCTCACACTTATAATCCCATTACGGGTCCATGCTAATCAAAACAATTAAGCACTAGCACACCGAGGCATGGTTCTAGGTGTTCACGGATTATCCCACACAAAAATTCAAACCTGAACCATGCCACGGTGGCTACCAACCACCACGCAAGCAAAACATTTCACATTCATTCACATATTAGCACTTGGTGGGCAAATTTCACAAATAAAAGCAATTCAAATAAAAAAA